TAGATAAATAGGTACCGCTCCAGCGGGAAGGTAAATGGCATTTCTGTGCACTGCTCTGGTTCGCCAGAAGCAGCTTAGTCATGCTGGCCACATGACCCAGAAGCTGTATGCCGGCTCCCTCGGCCAATAAAGCGAGATGAGCGCCGCAACCCCAGTCAGTCACAACTGGACCTAATGGTCAGGGGTTCCTTTACCTTTAAGAACCCCCCTCATCTGAAATCTTAAATGGTACCTCTGTAAGACGAAACATAATTAGACTAAGATATTTATGCTGCAGAAGCTGCATGACTATCATGGGCAACAGGTTGCCCCAAAACCTGAGGCATACCTGCTGCAGCCAAACAGGCAAGATTTTAGCAGTGATTTCCAGTAAAATCTTAAATGTGTTTATTCCAAAGTACATCTCACTGAATTCAATGGGAGCTGCTCCCAGGTAAGTACACAGAGGTCTGTAGCCTTAATAGTGATTCACTAGAGCCATGCATAGTATATCACAGAGCATCTCATTTGTACTCTAATTATGCTTTGGTTTTATCATCACATTCTTTCTAGGGATTATTGTGTCCCTTGCAGCTGATCCTAATGTTCCCTGACACACAGACTAATGTGTATTTAGTAAACAAAAAATGAAGTGACAGAACCAATTAAAAATCCATCTGTTCAGATGAATAAAGGCTGTGCCAAATTTTTCAGATGAGACTTGGTCAACAACAAAATCACGCCAACGCTGGTCTTGGCAAGAGAGCAGAGCCTGCCTAGAGTGCCCTATCTAATCCCATCCTGGGCTTCAATCTGTGAAGTGGCTTTTCAACCTACAGCTTCGATACATGTAGAGCTGTACAACAAAAGAGCATCAAGTTAGCTTTATGGAAATGTGAATGACTTCATTAAATATAATGGGGTTTGTATCCAAGCCACTGTAGACTCATTTGAAAACAATAAACTTGTTAGTTGTGTCTAACTTGCCCATTGATTTCAAAGGGCTTACTCAGAGTATGATTTAGACAGATGCAACCCAATGTTTCTGTTATACAATCCAATCAATTTATTCCATTCTCATGTATGTAGATAGAACAAGCTATAGCGCTAGCTTATTGTGATCAATATTCACTAAAATAAAATTTGTACTAGAAGCCTACAGCTTTTAGTCCAAATCTATATTTCAATCCATATCCCACCCCTCTGCCTTGTCTTGGCCATTAGGGTTGCTTGGGCCACAGCGCTGTAGGAACAGGAAAAATCACACCTGACCATGATTATCCTTCCACAAGTAAAAATAAAGTACCATCTCAAGGTCGAGCCCTGGCAACTCTATGCTGTCTTAGTTCCCTGGTCCATAACTCTCCAAAGCACCTTTGTTTATTCATTTTCTTTATCCTTGTAGGTAAGTCACAATTTTCTGGACCAGCTGCAGTTTCACACTAAAATTTAAGGGAAGCCTCATGTAGACTACGTCAAACTATTGAGCCTTGAGTTTAGCTAGCTAGGCAAAATTGTGGCAATATCTTTGTTTCATTAAAAAAAGTTCAATTGACTTCTTTAATCAAGTGGGGGAAAGCGCTTCTGACCACAGCTACCACTTGGGAATTCAACAGCAGAGCTGTGAAAAGGAGTACAGTCATAGTCACAGTCAAGTCAGTTTATTGTGTTTTAGGAGACAGCCATTATACACATGAAAATGACAACGACAACAACAACAACAACAATAACAACAGATTTACATATCTGCTCCTTAATCTTTAAAGGATAAATCTTTCCCCATATCCTCTTTAAATTTAATAGCAGGGATTTGTAGAGCCCAAGCAAGAAACTTAGATATTCTGGATATATACTTTTCTACACTGGACAGCAAAAAACAAGTCTTTTCTAGGGATGACCTTCCCTTCTGTGATCTTAACAATAGGTAAATATAGTTGTTTCTAAGATCATTATAAAAAGGGCATTCAAGGAGCACATGAGTTGTATCTTCTATGGACACAGAGTTGCAACCACAAACTCTCCTTCTTAGGATTTCCCTTGTGTTGGCCCATCCAACCTGCTAGTGGAAGGAAATTTTAATCTTACTGTGTGAAGGCTATCCTCATTTTAACATTTGGACGTCTACTGGATATCTTGGAAGGGATAAATTCAATGGTATAAAGGAAGCTTACAAATTATTGGATTGACAAGTCTCGATTTCATCAGCTCGTGACTGCATTTCAACATCCCTAAGCCTTTCTGCTCTGGTCAGACCTCACCTGGAGTACTGTGTCTAGTTCTGGGCACCACAGTTCAAGAAGGACACTGACAAACTGGAACGTGTCCAGAGGAGGGCAACCAAAATGGTCAAAGGCCTGGAAACGATGCCTTATGAGGAACGGCTAAGGGAGCTGGGCATGTTTAGCCTGGAGAAGAGGAGGTTAAGGGGTGATATGATAGCCATGTTCAAATATATAAAAGGATGTCACATAGAGGAGGGAGAAAGGTTGTTTTCTGCTGCTCCAGAGAAGCGGACACGGAGCAATGGATCCAAACTACAAGAAAGAAGATTCCACCTAAACATTAGGAAGAACTTCCTGACAGTAAGAGCTGTTCGACAGTGGAATTTGCTGCTGTGGTGGAGTCTCCTTCTTTGGAGGTCTTTAAGCAGAGGCTTGACAACCATATGTCAGGAGTGCTGTGATGGTGTTTCCTGCTTGGCAGGGGGTTGGACTCGATGGCCCTTGTGGTCTATTCCAACTCTATGATTCTATGATTCTATGAAGTATTAATTCTTTAGCTCTTTTGAAACCTTGCGTCAAAAGAAAACAGACAGAGAATCCCAAACTCATGGCAACCTTCTGCATTTAATGCCTCCATGAGTTTGGGCCCATCTCTTCCAAAATTGTCAGGAGAAAATCTGATACCTGCTTAAAAATAGTTTTCAACCAGAAAAGCAGGGCTAGTCTAAGAGCTTCAGCTTTAATGGACATTACATCCAATTCTGCACGGAGCAATGATATTTTTGTGGAAATAGGGACTGGCAGCAGTCTGTGCAAAAAATTATTTTGTGTTCTTTCCAGTGAATCTAAATTGGCCATAGCCCACAATGGTGCTCCATATAGCAGCTTTGGCAACACCCTGGTCTTATAGAGTTCTAAAGCAGGCTGCACCAGACTATGAGATTGTAAGGTCCATTTAAGGTTCTACCAGCTTGCAAGGTGCTTGATTGGACCTGTGCAGACCATTTTCCTATCCCCTGAAAGACCACACCAAGGTACCTAAAGGAAAATACTTGTTCCAGTTTATTTCCATCAAGTAACCAGTTGTAAGTTTTCTTGAATTTTCCAAATTCCATAATTTTTGTTTTTTAATAAATGATAAAAATATGTTCATTTTTGCAGTACAAACTAAACTGATTCAGCAGTCTGCACAAACCCAGTTGGGTATAAGAGATCAAGTTTGCATCATCTGCGTGAAGGAGAGTGGAATATTTCTGATTTCCAGTTTTCACTGGAAAGTAGTACTTTCCAAATCGCTTTTACCAATAGTTCCTTCCAGAACGAGAGCTGTTCTTTTTTCCAACCTTGCAAGTACCGGTATATCCCAGAGTTTAGCTGGGTTCTTTTACAAGAGTGTGAGGCCTAATTCCTTCCATTGTTCCTCATAATAGACCTTTTCTCTCTCTGATTAGTCTTCTATAATTCTTGTGCATTTTGTAGAATTCTGAGGGAATTGTGGGAGAATTACTTAAAGCTTTTCTTATCTGTCTTTTTAAAGTCCTGCATTCTTTATCAAACCATACATTGTCCTTTTTAATTTGGTAATTTCCATGAGGGATACCTTTTTAAAGGAAAAATGGCCTGAGATAAGTTATAAGTTGTACATATAGTTCATTCGCTAATTCAATACTGGATACTTGTAGCAGATCGTTTCTTAATTTCAAAAACTCTTCTGAATAAAGCCTCTGTTGTAAATCTGTTTACAACAAGGGATTCCATTTAATCCTCTTGTTTGAAGTTAGTAGTGCTTGTTCAAAATTTAGTTAAGTGTCATCCTTTATGGTAGCACTATTAGACCAATGCAAGGAAAATCTGAGTGACTGATGATCACTACCAACTATGGAGCCTACTGTGAAGAGAAGAAATGATGATTGAAAGAGATGAGTAATCATCACATAATCTACTACACTTGCGATGGAATTGGTTATATAAGTAAACTCTCCTTCTGAGTTATATAGTTGAGAACCATTAATTAAGGTTTCCACATTTTGAAGAGCAAAAAAGAGGGCACATTTGCTGACTTCTACTTTAAACTATGGATGGTTATGACGCTATGCTCAGTGGCAGCACGAACATGCAAGAGGCAAATCAGGGAGGTAGCCTCTTGTTCTGCTGTAGGCAGCAAAGCAACAAAGTCTTGTAGCACAAGACATTTATTAAGTCTTGAAGGTACTACAAGATGCCTTGCAGGGAAGAAAGGTAGGAGAACAGGCTGAATTTAAGTACTGTAGGCATGCTGTTTGAATCAATCACACACCGGCCATTGATGCCCATAAGTCATGAGTCTGGGAGAGGTTACCCACTACAAAGACTCCCTTTAGAGATTCCACATCCAGGTGTGCTGTTGGGAATTTGGACAGTTCCAGGGCCGGATTTAGGTTTGGTGAGGTCCTAAGCTACTGAAGGTAATGGGGCCCTTTGTCAACAACAAATTGTCACTGTTTTTGTGCTGAATATATGCTATATTTATGGACCTGATAGGTATGTAAAGCCATTTGCACATAACAAAATACATATTTTATCAAAGTAATTTAGGGAGCAGGCTAGCAAGGAGGACCCATTACTTACATCATAGGAGCCTACACAACACAAAACACTGTTGCTGTATGTAGGTTTTATTTTATTTGTTTTTTATCTTATATTTTGGAAATGTACATCCAGGGTTTTTTTCCCTTTAATTTTTTTGGGTGCCCCCAAGAGAGTGGGGCCCTAAGCTATAGGTTGTACAGTTTATACGTAAATCCGGCAGTGGACAGTTCCAAAATCTTGCAAGAGGCGGATTCTCTCTCTCTCTCTCTCTCTCTCTCTCTCTCACACACACACACACACAGAGAGAGAGAGAGAGAGAGAGAGAGAAACCCCTGACTTTGCCTTCTTCTCAGTGCCAATGCTTCCGCACCTTTCCCATCAACCTTGGGTTGGATTTAGGGGGCAGCCGAGAACAAAGAACCCAAGGCAAACCAAACAACCCAAGGCAAAATAAAGCAGATTACTGATCAGTTGGGCTGGGTGGGGGGCAGTGTCCAATCCATGGCAGCAGGCTCCCCGGGCTTAGCTGTATCTAAGTAGCCAAAGTGGTGAATAAATAAGCTGTGAGGTCCACAAAGTGCTGAACAAGGCTTGGATGAGAATCCAGCAACAAAAAAGTAGCAATGGTCAAGGTTCTAACTAACTGAGGTTAGGTCAAACTGTGCAGTCCAAGGACAGCTCCCACAGCAAACTCTCAGGGAATATAGGGGCCTTGAGTTCAAGATAAGCCCCCAAATAGCACTGGCCTCCTGAGTGTCCCAAACCCTGCTCCTAGTTCAGAACTTGAAGGTATCCAAAGCCAAGTGTTTGAAAACCAGAATACTCCTGTGTTTCAGTCGTTCGGGAGCCAATTTGTTCGGCGGCCAAGGTGTTCAGCTTCAAAGGTGTGACTGTAATTCCACTTTCTGAAGCAGCGAGCTTTTAGGTTATAGCTGAGTAGAGCACAGTTCCTTTCTGAAATCCCCGAATGAGTTTGATGCATTTCCTCAGAACGATACTACTCAACTCATCAGGTCTGCCTAATTTCAAGGCTCCTTGAAAGCGGTAGAATTTGATCTTCACTACAATACCTGTTGAGTCAGCAAGGAGCTGTTAGCTGCTGCTTCTGCCTGGATGCCATAGCACTGGAAAACCAAAAATATTTTTGAATAATAAAGAACAGCCTAGGTAATTTCACATGCAACAATTCACTGAAGTATTTAGTCACTGACATACATATCTGGTATCGGTAATTAACATGTACTAAATTGTCTCCCAATTAAAAAAAATAGACCAGAAAAGTAATTGTGTACAAGATTTTTGTTATTGTTTGGCCTTATTGCACTTTATAAAATGAAGTTAAGAACAGAATCTATAAGTTTCCAGGAGACCAATGGGTACACTGAAGGCCTTTTGGGCCTTTTGAAAGGAAAAACCAAACCTCTTTGAACAATAGACTCCCATGGCATACCCTCCTCCAGGTGGTACAATAGATTGGGACAGAACCGCTGGGTGTGCTGTTGTTGGATCAATGCCATTGCTTGAGTAGCCATACTACCTGCAGTGCCTTTGTGCAAATGAGCCTTTGAGTAGATAGGTGTGTTGCCTGTTGTACCTTTGAACAGCATTTTTGCATATAGTCAACTTTCAACTGACGTGGGGGTTACATTCCGGGAATAGTGCATAAAGTGAAAATCACGTATAGTCAAAACACACTGGGTGCAATGGCAGGTGTGATTGCCAAAGTCTTTTTCCCTGAACACCCACCCCCTTTTTAATTTTTTTTTAATTGCCAAGAGCATAAAGCAGAATGTGCACAAGTTAAATGTCCATAAATTGCAAGTTACCTGCACATCACATTTATTTGAGCATTAAAGGTTTTTTGGTGGGTGGGACATCATCTGCATTCATCAGCAATTGGGAGTCAGGACATTGGGAGACAATGACACCTCAGCTCAGGTCCCTGGATGATTTCTTCTGGTGGCCTCATGTAGGTCAGCAAAGGGGAATCTGTGGCTTTCCTGTTGTTGTTTGATGGCAGCTCCCATCCACTGGCTGTGCTTGTGGGGTTGATGGGAGTGGGAACCCCACAAAGTCTAAATAGATATTAAACAGCATGGGGAACAAGATGACAACCTGTTGAACACCACAGTGTAACTGCCATTGGGCAGAGCACCCCTTTCTGTGGCTGATTATTAAGATAGGAATGGAAGGACTTGGGTACAGTGACTAGTTTACATACTACAAAAGGGTACAACGGTCAATGAAAGCAAAAGCCACTGAAGAGTCCAGGAGAATTAACAGAATTGCACTTACTCTGTGCCCTTTGCTTGCAACCTCAATACTAAATATTTTCTCTCATCAATTAAAATTATCCTTCCCTGAAAGAACAGTGAAAGATTTAGTTAACGAGGTCTGCCATTAAGCTTGCAATGTGGTGCAGACATGGGTAACATTATGTGTTGACTGTAAAAGCAATATAAATAAGCAATATACCAGATAACATCAAAGCCAGTCTGGTTATGCCCCCAGCATCCAAGGCACCACAGCAGTTTGCATGCTTATTGCTACAGTCTCCTGGAATTATTCCATCAATTTAAATGAAGTTATATGGATAACAAAGAATGCTATACCGCCTTTCATAGCCCTTAATCTTAAAGCTCAAGTTTCAAAGCTTGCTTAAAGGAGAGTTTCATAATATTCTTTCCATGTTATTCCTGTCCTCAGACGCCTCAGGCAAGATAACTTGCACTAAGGCTCAATTAACCAGCTAAAAACGGCCTGTGTGTGATTCTGCTACCTCTTTTCCTCAGCTCTGTCCTTCCTAGTTCATTATTCTGTGCTACCCATATCACGCAAGCTTAATTTATTAATTAAAATTGTATTTATTAAGATATAAACTGTCCTTCATCAAGAATATATGAGAAATGAACAACAAATATAACTAAAAATGGGCATTAAATAACTGTTGCACAGTGGGATTTGTTGCCTCAGTGCTGTGACTATGCTTGCTCAGGATGTACATCTCTGCACACATCTGAACCTATTTCTGGGGAACAAGCTGCTCATGACCAATGGATGATGGCAGGGTGGAATGGGCAGATGTTATATACCTTAGCGATGGGCAAAGACATCTGCCAACACATCTGAAGAATTTGAAAGCTGTGCTCCACAAAATGCACAAGGCGGGGCTAAAAGTGAGTAGGCAGGTGTCTTTTGCTTTATGCAAGACCAGGTTAAATATTTGGGACATATAATTAGCAAGAGGAAATCAGCCAACAGCAGCAAAAAGCTCAGGTAGTAACAGAGGCACCTACTACTAAAACATAAGAGCTGTGCTCATTTTTAGTGTGCCTACTCCCTACCTAAATGTATGGTTTATTCTGAGTCTTTCTACCATAATGAGACTGCTGAATGAATTACTGTTTTATGGAAAAGCCAACTCTAATATACTGTAACTGGGCCCCTGTAATTGCATGGAGACAAACTAGTACAAACACCTACAATTACTGTGTACTCCTGATACAGTATTACCTTACACTGGCTATTTTGAATACAACCACTCAAAAAATAGAGGGATAATTAGTTTGCAAAGGTCTGTTGAAATTTGTTGCTTCTGAAAGACTTGGGTAGAAAACTGCTTGTGATCATGGTGGCAATCATTCTTCAGTATGCACATGTGCTGAGTCATGACTCTCACTGGCCTTGTGTGGCGGGAATAGCTGGATCACATTTTCACAAGGAAAAGCTATTAAAAAACATTCTCCTATTTGCTGGACAGAAATAAGCTTTCCTTTAATAGAGCATTTATGTAGCACACTGTTATTCTTCAACCAATTTCATTACACTGGTGGTTGGAAATAAATGTCACCTTCCATTAATTTCATGGAATTTTGCATATCCTATAGCATCTCAAAGTTGCTGTCATGGGGTCTTGTTTCCCTTCAGTAATGTTTTGAAATTATCTGATAGCACTTTAAAGAAAAATCTATTTGCCTGTTTGTAAGTAGTGGTATACTTTTTTGCCAGAAGCACAAAGAAAATAAGCCTAAACCCAAAGATGCAATGATCTACACAGCTATCGGTCTATCACATTTCAGACCAGTATAACTATTCATCAAGAATATATATATTCCTGTGGAGAACTATGAATTCCCAGTCATTTTATTGACTGATTTCGAGCAATACACACTCGGCTATCAACTGAATATGTTCCCAAGTACTGCTCAGTCTATAAAAAAATTCCATACGAAGCATCATCTGTTTTGTGTCCAATACAATAGCATTAAAAGGTAAAGGTAAAGGGACCCCTGACCATTAGGTCCAGTCGTGACCGACTCTGGGCTTGCGGCGCTCATCTCGCTTTATTGGCCGAGGGAGCCGGCATACAGCTTCCGGGTCATGTGGCCAGCATGACTAAGCCGCTTCTGGCGAACCAGAGCAGCGCACGGAAATGCCATTTACCTTCCCGCCGGAGCGGTACCTATTTATCTACTTGCACTTTGACGTGCTTTCGAACTGCTAGGTTGGCAGGAGCAGGGACCGAGCAATGGGAGCTCACCCCATCACGGGGATTCGAACCGCCGACCTTCTGATCGGCAAGTCCTAGGCTCTGTGGTTTAACCTACAGCACCACCCGCATCCCACAATAGCATTACAATTAGCCTTATCTAACCCTTGTTGTTATCCATAATAGAATGGGGATGGGGGGGACTACGGGTTAAGTGATCTGAACACAACTCATACCACCCCACCCCAAAACCTTTATATTATTATATTAATGATGCTGCAAGAAAATAGTAGGTGGGCTACGCTGTACGGTGTCAGAAATTACTAAAACAGGACAAGTACCAAGAGGTGCAGACCAACAATATGTGTAATGAGAAACCTTCAGAGAAACACAGACTAGTTAATACAAATCAAGGTTAGTCACTGACTGGTGGTAAGTTCAGAACCGACAAAAGGAAACATAATCTTAAACAGTGGTACCTCCGGTTATGAACTTAATTCATTCCGGAGGTCTGTTCTTAAGTGGAAACCGTTCATAACCCGAGGCGTGCTTTTGCTAGTGGCGCCTCCCGCTGCTGCTGCGCTGCCGGCGCATGACTTCCACTTGCATCCGGGGGCAAAGTTTACAACCGGGAACATCTACTTAGCGGAGCTCATAACCCGCAGCGTTCGCAAGGAGGACTTTATTTGCCACATGATATGTTGATGGCCAACACCTTGCAGAGCTTTTAAACTTGGAATGTACACTTAACAATGGAGCTCACATGGTGACTATTACTTTACAGGAAGAAAACTTCGCATTTGACCACCTGTCTCCTTGATTCTTGCCCATCCTGGCTCATAAAAGCAAGCTGGGAAGGGCT